ACAATTCTTAACTACATCTTTTACTCAGGGGATCTCCGGTAATGAATCATACTTCCAGCACAAACATATATAAAAGTCACAAAGCGCTTCTAGCTCTATTTTACAGATGTACATGTCCGTTAAATAGTCATACTACATTTTTACTCATGATATACATGTACATGTATATCGTTATTAGTTTTTAGACAATCACAACATTGGGGCATGGGAGGGGCTCACTGTACTAATCACTATAATATTGTTGTTATGTGTGTGTATGTTTCGTTACAAAATTTGTTGTGCTCGTTGTGTAAGTGTATGCCATCGTCGCTTACTGCCTACGAACGTGCATTATATACGTGGTACTACTCTTCCAGTATTAATTGGCCTCAATTGAAACAAAGGTTAACTGTACATCTAATATTGGGAGTTGCCCTTTCGGGTTGCGGTTATCGAGTATTTTCCCTTTAAGTCATCTTACATCATTTCGAACCCTAGAGGCAAAATTATAACTTGAAACGCCGCATATACTTATTCAGAAACATCAGGCGATCCTACATGTAACTCACCCTACATGTAACAGATTGAAAATAAATCTGATTTGAAACCAGACGTGTGTCGTACTGTGTTGTTCATTGTACCCTGGAGGAGTAGTTCTTACTAGTTGTCGAGAGCTAGCTGTTTTGGGGTTTTCGTTAATGTACTACTACTAGAACTGTAGAGGGGACTGTATGATGCATTTTACTCAGGTATTACACCAATATCTGAATTCCCCCACATACCGCCCCTTACTCCCACCATGCTTGTGCTACGTCATCATCAGGCTTGACCTTCTTATCAATCATCTTTCAAAATCATTCCCACCCACCATGCAACCGAAGCAAGTAGGACGGACAGAGACAAAACCCCACAACTCGGCCACCCAAAACAATACTTCCTAAGCTAGGAGTAATAGAATTTAGACACTCCGGGAGTCTTCACCATGCCTACAGCCAATACGTACAAAACTCAGGTATCTCAGCTGTATCAGGTATTAAGCAACAAACTGAATTCGACATAAAATCCGTGGATCCAGATGAAGGCGGTTCGAACCGGTTAACGTTGAACGAGCTTGCTTGGGCATGTTTGTGAGGGTTTGCACTCGTCCTGTCGGATGGGGGCAAAAAGTACGCGGCCCTGTAAATGTGTGTGTGGGGGGGGGGTAACCCTCAAGCCGCAACCTCTGCACTTCACCACTAATCAGCACTTAGCCCTGCACGGTTAAGACGCTTTTGATAACCTTTAAGGATGTCAATGGTATGTGAACAACATCTACATGATAGGAACTGATTTTGTTGGGTAAAGGTCAATACATCCCACCTACCCAGTCCGTCAATCAAGTACAGTGTTGCACGTAACGAGTGCTTCTGACATTCAGTTTGTCCCAGAACGCAAGGCTTTCACATTTGTTCCACGTCACTCACGATAAGCGTTAGCGTCAACAACATGCTGGAAAACACCCGACTTAATCTGCAATTTTCCAACACGGTAGGATCTTAAGCTTCTGTTCTACATGACCACCCCTGAAGCGAGACCCTGATGTACATGAAGCATAACATCTCATTACTTCGGTGCGTGCTGTTGATCCGCTCCTACACTTTCGACTAAGCCATAGTATAGGCGGTTCAGTACCCACAGCTGACTAATGATGCAGAAGTTTAGCACTAGCTAATTCTCCCTGTCACTGAGTGTGACACATTCACAACCTTCTCCCGAACTTGCCCCCGAGCAACAGCCGACTATGTTCGGGAGCAGCCTGACCATATTCAGGCCACAGCTACCTTTATATACGTATCAAAACGAATTTGAGTTAAATTTGACCCGCGAATATGTACCCCCCAAAAACTTGTTACTCCCTGAATGGTAGGCTGGTGTTCTGTAGCATCTACCAGGCTTAATTCGGGAGGCGGCTGGAACGAGTAGAAATCGGCCAGAGAGATAACATGCCAGGGGAGTTTTTCTGCTGGGAGAGAACATTCGGGTACGGAAAATGTTCTGCTGACTTACAGCCGAGCACCAGCCAACCCTGTCCGAACCTCCCGACCAACTCCCGAATATTTCAAACATTTTTGAACCATTCGTTTGGCGTAGCCGACCTTGCTCCCGACCATAGTTGTGTGGGGGTACTGGGGGTCGGCAGTGTTTGGGATGTTCGGCTATGTGTAACAGGGGCTTTGAGGCCTTGTCCTGTTTCTGTGTGACCTTCTTATTTTACATAACCGTGACCAGAATGTGGTTCATATATTTTAGTCTCTTTTCATTACAAACACCGTGTATTTGATTCACTCTCCCCAGGTGACAATTCAAGCCACTTCTGACCTGACCACATTTGGAGAGTCACGAAGCATGAAACGCGTTTACAAATGAAAGCAATAAAATAGCTGAACATTCAAAGGATATATATATATATATATTTGACAATCCGACAATTCAGATGGGTAGACCCAATGTTGGCCTGGTCTGCTCCATACTATGAAATAGTACTCCAGAATGAATTGTAATCCTTACAAATGGAAACGGTTTACCATAAATCATATAGTAACATACGAGCGGGTAAAAGACAAACACAAATACTTCTTGACATCTCTATATATCATTATTCCTAGCGCCATAAGAGATCTATATTCGTTGACACGTGCCTGAGCTCGGCTTAGGCCACACCGATTTAACTTTATGGATGACATCCGCGCGCGCATTGATTTTCGCCCGATCTCAAGAAAAAAAAAAAGATCACGTATTCCGAGGCTCTGGCCTGGCTTTAGGCCTGGGTAGTGCATGGTGGTGATAACTCTGGTTGACGGCAGCCAGGCTACCGAAGCTCCAAGACTCAAGAACTCAGAACATACGTACAGCAGTGTCGATTCATATATTCCGCAAAAATCCAGCATGTGTCGGCCTGTCGTATACGTCGCTATGTAATGCGCCAAATTCACAATACCAGGTTTGTATTCCTGTGGTTTTGTAGCATTTTTATTTTTGGCCGGATTTTTATTTTTTTCGCCCGCGCGCACTAGTTTGGGGGTCTTCAGAGGATGTCATCCATAAAATTAAATCGGTGTGGCCTTACGGTTTAATTGCCCCTCCAGAGTCTAGTTACAGTAAGTACAGAAGAGCGGGTTGGACGCGTGTTATATAGATGGCAATTTGTCGTGTTTCTCCGTTACTATGATATCGTTTGACTCGCTGCATGTCACACTGGGACGTGACGTCAGTGGCTGCATGTCTGCGTCTGTTATCCGGTCTTGCCATGTGAAGAAAAGGATCTCAGAACGGAAAGAAGTCAGACACATTATATATGTACTCACATCACAGGTTTCTTATACGGGCGAGTTGTGCCCTTGACACCGCCCGTGGCCTCAGCAAACGTTTACTTTGCTTGCATGATGTTCTGACTAGAGATACAGGGACTTAGTTTGACAACTTGGGCAAAATTTTAGCTGGCTTATTCACTACAGGTGGGTAGGTGGTGCGTCCTGGAACGTTTGTGTACATGTGGCCCAATTCGCAGAATTCGAAAACAGGACAGTATTTTTAACCAATATCGCTTTGATGTGGCGATGATGACGAGGATTATATCCTTCGCCACAAAATTAAGTTTGTCTTCGTGTAGCACAATTTGCGTTTCGCAGAAAACAGGACAGTATTCTTACCGACAACGCTTTGATGTGGCAATGATGACGAGGATTATTACCTTCGCCACAAAATTAAGTTTTTGTTTCGCAAAACATGTCATAATCTTTTTACCTGAGCCGGTTTGATGTGGCAATGATGAGAAGGATTATATCCTTCACCACAATAATTAAGTTTGTGTTTCGCAAAACATGGCAGAATCTTTTTACCTAAACCGCTTTGATGTGGTGATGATGACGAGGATATCACCTTAGATACAAATGGCACCCAATAACACTCTGTTATCAACTTATTCTCTGAGGCCTTTTCCATCCGTCTGTCCCTACTCTCTGCAATAAGCTGCACTACCTTATCATTTGGACTTTATTTCCTGACCAAGTGGCGCCTTCGCATGATAACAAAGAAGACATTGGGGCAAAAAAATGTTTAAGGTACATAAAAAGCCGTATTTGCCAGAACACTTCGGCCCTGAATACTAAACATGCCGAACGAACTGCAACATTGTATCTGGTTCTCCGTTCCAATTACCAAGAAAGCACGGTTCTAAAGTAGCCACTATACATATAAATTAGAATTTATGCCCGCCAGTGCCCGTTTGAGTGCATGAACCCGATTTCCCTGTGCCAAAGACAGAGCTGAAGAGAAAACATGCTAAGTAACTTCTCTTACGATTTCTGTACCTCTCCATTTGAAAAGCCCAACTACAAGTAGTTCAGTAAAGCAATTAAAATCTGTGTCAAGAGAAAATCAATAGATAAAGGACTGTACATAGTGTATGTTGGAGATCCAAATGTGCCTATTAAGTCGCAGCTACATTCACCGCGCGATTTTTAGGAGGAAATTGTAACGTGGATATGGCAAAACTTCAATGATCTACGGCAACAGTTTCTGTCAGCCGACTTCTATACGACACATCCACGACGGTATCAAGAATATCCCCATAATCCTATCGTACGGTGAAAGTGTTCATGGTCTCACTGAGATCAGGTTAAAGAAAAATTACCAAACTGGATACTGTCTCAGCACAGGATCTCAAGCCAATCGTACCCACTGTTCCTCAAAATCCCACGTGTCCATCAAAATTAGCAGTTTGACCAACAAAAACGTCGGTCACATTTCTGCATCTCTCCATTTTTGTATTGCTTTCCTCTTTACACTTCTACCAAGATGGGACGGACCATGGAGTTGTCCTATTGGCTAGAATTTCAGTTGCGTCAGTAGGAGAATGAAGGGGGAAGCCTCCATTGGTGGATGCCACGGAACGGCAGCCCACGTATTATTACTTGCGAGTGGGAAGCTTTAACAAGTCCCTGTTCAGTAGAAGTGCGACCAGTGCGCGCAGGTGTTGCATGATGAACGACACGCTGACAGACGCCGGGAACGGCACGTTGCCGCCGGACTGGGGGACGGTGTTCAACAGCACGACCCCCGTGCCCAACGACACCGTCCTGCTGCCTGATTGGGACGCCAACGATGTGGGCACGGGCGTGAAGGTGGGCTCCTCCATCCTCCTGGTGGTGCTGATCGTCGGCGGCACCTTCGGGAACTGCCTGATCATCGGGGCGGTGTACGCCACGCCCAGCCTCCGCAGCGTCTCCAACATCTTCATCGTCAACCTCGCCGTGGCCGACCTCATGGTCTCATCGGTCGTGGACACCTTCAACATCGTCGGAGTCATAGACCAGGTTTGTTTGTTACGATCTTCATTAGTGTTAAATTGCATAATTTGCACAGTATTCTTCCTGGAGTCCACAAGGGTGATGTCCATGATGTAAATAGAGGAATGAATGAAGTGAATCACCAGCCTTCAGATAGTAGTATTTGGACCACCGCGCACCAGGGCATGCCCCTACTCTTTTACGAAAGGAGCGGTGAGAGTTCTTTAACGTGCGTGTAGTGTGGCTCTCTCCAAACACAGGACTTCATTTAATGTCCTTTATATATCCGAGGGACGTCCATAACCAAAGCTAGCTAACCAAAGCCGGGCCAAAGGTTGGGAGTTGTCACCTCAGCATAAGACAACCCGTGAAGTCTACGGCAGTATAGAAAGCACTAGAAGCAGTATATTTCTATCTATTTCCAGAACTTCCTGCGGGACCACCCTGTAGTGTGTGAGCTGGTCGGTGTGGTCTGCGTCACCAGCTGCATCTGTTCCCTGATGAGTGTGGCAAACATCGGCATCAACCGGTCAGTACGAGCTGTTATCATGTGGAATGTGAACATACATTTTGTAATGAAAAAAACGATGTTCAAATGGAATGGTCCCGTCTATTAATTTTGGGCGCGGAAGAATCGTTTGGGGAGCTGAAATATTTTGGTTTTCGAGCTCGAATTCGAATTGTATAAGAGGAACTGTACCATATTGTTGTTAGATTTTTACGGAGAAGTTCAACACACACGCAAGAATGGCGAAACAGATCGCTGGTCTTCTGCATGGCACATTTGATTTTAACCAATGCAGAGTGCGTCATAGCCATGATTGAGTATTAGGGTACGCAACTGATGCTCCGAGTGTGTAACATGATGTGACATAACGGCCCCTACAGCCCATCTCCCCCAAAGTCTATAGGATATCCATGACGAAAGCGGCGCAGTGCGCTGTGAGAATTTCATATTGATAAAAGAGTCACCTTTGGTATAGGATGTTCTGTCCGCTTCGACTTTGTCATGCCTGCTCCAAGTGATAAGAAAGAAGAGTTGAAGACCTGCAAATGCTTGCCTATATATAACATTTTCTGCTGTCTCAGTCGTTATTCTAGCGGACCTCATTCCATTCAGACTTCAGCCTATAATACCTGATGCAGTACAAACGTACGTAACTTCAGTAATGGACCATTACCCTGGACAGTAGCAAACTGTATGGAAGTGTTATGGTTGTAGCAAGTCTGGTGATCATGACTAAGTGCAAGATTTCCGTCAGTACCATTTGTGAACAAATTAAACCTTTGGGGTTACCCAACTTCTGCCATTACACGTTGGCTAAATACAGACATATCCAGAGGTAGGTGGCGTACAATCGCTCACATAGTCCAGTGGTACTCTTCAAGCAAAGGTTGGGTTTGGGGTTATTTTTGGCGTGTTTTTAGACTTTTTTTAATCGGGGTTTCTTTCTTGCACTGGAATTTTTCTTTCACCCAACCCAACGCTGTTGTCGCTCACCCGACATTTCCGCTACTGGAAAGGGTCGCAGTCATTAGGACTGGACGTTAAGCTAAGTTGTGGTCCACTGTTTATTGTGCTTGTTGAAAAGAGCTAGGGGAATTGTCCAGGTACAACGAATGTGTAAGTACTGTACATGGCGTCTGTATTCTCGGCCACGTCTACTGGATCGAGATTTTTTTCCCTTCAAACCAGCTAGATAGGCCCGAGCTAGCCGAGCAGTTTCGGTCAACACGAATTTTCCTCGCCGTTCCTTACTGTCGTACGAAAGCCTGATCCCAATGAACGGTTGATCTGGCTAAGTGTAGAGGTGATTCTAAATGGCCAATCCAGTGCGTCTACTTTGAGCTACGGGCTGCATGAATAAATCACGTGCAGTTTCATCTTCCCAATCTTCCTGTCTCAGCGAGGTCATTCCAATCAGCGGGAAAACATCAAGGAACAGAGCCGAGAAACTACGGTACGGCTATAGAACACACCGCCCTTTCGCGGCTGCACAAATTATACCGATGGCAGGCATTCTAAGTCCCCGTAAGCAAGATGTATTATCATTCTGACCAGATTAACTACTAGTACAATTGCAACTGGATTTTCAAAGAGAGTAGAAGCCGTTGGGGAAGCCACCTGTCATCGAATACGAATGCTTGGGTTACCAGCTCGCACAAGGCAATTTTCAAAGCACCCATCTTGCAGTGACTAGAATGCGTAAAGATATACACATGGGGGACTGGGATTTCTGGTAGCAAAAACTGTACTCATGCCCACGCGGATATTGGCAAACCAGCGGGGCATCTTTTCTTTTGATGGGGGTCATTTTTAGCCGATTGAAGACATAATTATGCCCATCGACCGCAAAAATGCGCTACAAATGGAATGACTATCATGGAGGCTAAAGAAAGCATTGCCTCCTTGCCAGGAGTACTTACTAAAATATTATTGCGATGCCTTGTTTTTGTAGTTCTCTTCTACCGGGCTTCGTTACGTTCGAAGTAGATCCTGCAAAACCCGATTATACAGGTTACATGAAGACAGTAAGCTTGCAGGAAACACGTCTATGTAAATAAATTTCAAGCTTCTGAAGGATTATAGCAGACTGCAGTTACATCAATGCCTATCACTACAAGCTGATTGGGATCGTGTTTCGCGACTTTAAAGCGTAAAGACTGAAATCATATACACCTAATGCCTTCCAAAGCAAACACAGTCGTTATCTTCATTGCGCTAAATTCAAAGCCGGCTAGAGGAAGTGCGTGCGCTCCAGCAGCTACTATCAAAGGAAGATTTCACCGTTTACTGCGAAGGCAATGAGCTGATAAATTTTCAGACCACTAGTACTGCGCGGTTCAGTAGCTCATCAGCGCAAGCACGGCGTCAGCAGTAGCAGTCGGGCCTTAAGAGATTATCATTGATCCCCCGGAGTGACATTGTAAGTGTCTAGTGTGTAAATACTGGGTCGTCGTCGCTGGTTCTTACAAATGGTACAAAGATGACATTAGAAATGAGATACATAACTAATTTCCTCTCAAGAAACCTTCGGATTCTGAGTGAATAACCTTAACCACAAGACCACCACTTTGAGAGAGTCCTGGAGATGTTGAGTCTCTTGTTTCTCCCCAGGCTGTTGTTCGTGGTGAAGCCCCACTGGCACGCCAGTGTCTACACCGTGCGGAAGACCCTGGTCATCGTGGCCGCCATGTGGGTGTACAGCTTCCTGTTCGACCTGCCGCTGCTGCTCGGCTGGGGGCAGCACTCCTACGACATCAAGACCATGGGCTGTACCTACGACCGGACTCACACCTTCAGGTAAGGGCTGATAAAACGCTGGTACGTCTTCAGGACCATGGGCTGCACCAATAGCAGGACACAACACCTTCTGGTAAGGTTTGACATGACACTGGAAGGTCATCATCAGGACCATGGGCTGCACCAATGGCGGACCCGTACCATCAGGTTAAAGGTTTGATACATCACTGGTACGTCTTCAGGACCATGGGCTGCAGCAATAGCAGGACCCACACCTTCTGGTAAGGTTTGATACGATGTTGGTATGTCTTCAGGACCATGGGCTGCACCAATAGCAGGGCCCATACCTTCAGGTAAGGTTTGGCATGACATCAGGACCATACCAACGACCAGACCTATACTTAAGCTTCAGGTAAGGCTTAGCCCTAAGTGGCCTGATTCTTAAAGCCTAGGCCTAAATGCAATTCGTTTTACTCCTCATCTATATCTTAAGTCTAAGCCTAGGTCTAAGCTCCAAAAGGTAACTACTGCAAAATAAAGAAAGTAACTACATCTGTGGCCCTGTCGGCTTTTAAACACAGTTACATGTATCTCAAGAACACACAGAACATTTCATCACAAAGAAAACGTGTCCCATCCTTCCCCAGCTACACCCTGTTCCTGGTGATCGCTGGTATCGGCCTCCCCCTGGTGGTGGTGGTGTGCAGCTACAGTAAGATCTTCTACCACGTGCACCAGAGCAAGATCCGTGTGGCCGTGCACCTCGCCAACCCTAAAGGGTTAGTTTGTTTGTTTTGTTACCGGTACCTTTGCCTAGAAGGTTATGTTTTTGGTAGCATTTGTTTGTTTGCATGGATGTGGTTTAGCGCATAACTCAAGAATCTATGGATGGATTGCCATGAAATTTAGTAGGTGGGTAGGTTTTGAACTAGGGAAGAAATGCTTAGATTTTGCACCCACTGGCAGCTTTCCTTGGAACTACATCAGAACTTCAGACATTTGGAGCTGCTAGTTTTGTATGTATCAAAATCACACAAGAAAACATCCCAAATTTCACATCTTGCACAAAGCATAAAGACTTGCAGGGAAACAAAGCAACTCTCTGATGTGTTTACAGTTTTACTACATGCTACACTGTGCTTCTTGCACCTCTCCCACTGAGGACTTATCCTTTCATCATTTAAGTAATTCTGTGCACTCAAGGCACAACTTGTTTTTCTTCATTTTAAAGGTCATTCAGCCTTTAAATAAATAGAAAGTTGTATCAGTTTCCCATTGACGCAGGAAATGTCATTGGGCTTGCACTCCAACATCCTGGACCTGATAATTCCTTCAGCCTGCTGATCTCTAAAACCGACCCACTACCAATATTACGTTTGCTCCACCTTTCAAAAGATTTGTAAGTGGTCTGCTTCACATCTAAACTTAAAGCTTTAGGTGCCACTAATGGAGCCTCAGGTGGTGGAACCTGGTTTTGACATTTAGGTAGCAATAGCTTCTATATAGAAAACAGGAGATATCCCTCGGATCTCTTCCAGTACTTACACAACAGCTGCCTGTGTAGTAACTGTATCTACATGTACGACTAAAATAATTCAACCTTTGTGGAGTGAAAAACAATTTCCCAGGGATCTATACCGGTATTCAGGCATTAAAAGTTTAAATTGAAGGAAGTCAAATAATCCAGCCGTTTGACGCAGGTTTGATATTGACGTGTCTGGTAAAAATCCCCTCTTAACCATTTTTAAATATCACCGACAACTTACATCCTTTAATGCATGTAACCTCAGCTAGGGCATCGTATCTTTGACTTTGCATGTGGCCTTAGCTAGGGCAGCTCATCTTACTACAAAAACAACTAGCGACCAAAAGGAAGGGGCTTCATGACCAAGTAGGAAAAAACTTACAATGTTTACTAAAACAACTGCCATTCAAAAGTTGCCCCCCAAAGAAAAATACCAAACTGTACAAAAATAAAGCCAGTAAAACATGTCCAATACTTTCAGTACCCATTTCATTTCTGTCAGTAACTTATTGATGTGTCCTCTAGATCTCACCACATGATGGTTTTGATAGTACCTGATAATTCCTGCTTAATAAGTTATTAAGCTGAGCTATCATATCATGATTTATTATTACATAGTTACTTGAAGTTTGCTCTTGGGAGGCATATTTTTTTCCCATAATAAAAACTATTTTCCATATAAACAGGAACATGAACAACAACGTGAACTATGAAGAGATCCGCCTGATCAAGACCTTGCTGGCCGTGTGCGTGGCGTTCTACGTGTGCTGGCTCCCCTATGCTGTAGTGGTCCTGGCCGACTTCAACGACCACTGGCCACGGGTAAGGGACAGTCAACTGACAATGTAGGGGTGTACAGGTAGCAATAAAAGCACATAATACAAGCAGAAGATAAAATTATTGCTTCCAACTACGGAAGTATTGTTTGGGGTGACTGAGCTGTTTATCCAGGGGAGGTTGACAACACATGGGTGTGGGAAGAAATTGACAGACAGAATGACAGGTCAAAGGCCAGCCTCAGGAAATGGGTCGAAGATCTCAGAATCTGAACATGAGCCAGTGGTCGACATGGGGGAATTCAGAGATTGGGGAGTCTGCAATCTCTGATTAGTTGTTACTGTCTTGTACAATATTGGAAACAAATTTAACCAATATGGCAAACAGGAGAAAACCATAAGGCTTATTACACAAACATGTATATTATACATTTTGTAGGTTTTCTAACCTAATCATTATCCAAATTCATCTAACTTTAACTTTCTGTCATACAAGTATTAAATATTTGAAATCCACAAAACCTATAAAAAAATACTTTTCTCAGGTCAAGTTGAAAATACACATCCACATACAGAATCAAAAACACCTTTATATCTCCATTAAAATCATCACACTGTCTCCATATCCGTAGACAGAAAACAGAGTACAAAGGGTAGTTGGTTAAAAGGAAGTCTGGCCTTCCAGACCTCTGGAGACAGACAAAAGGAGATGTCATATAAAGCCTGTTTTCAACATTATCCCGAGAGCTCAGCTAACTTATGATGTTTTCCGGATGAAAATGTCAGAGGTGCCCCTGATCAAATCCCAGCGATCGTTTCACAATCCTATTTCCTTTTAATGCAGCTGCCCTCTGAGATATCACAGCAAAGATTTGTACAAGATGAGAAATGGGGCAGGAAGGGCCCTGATGTTGATCCACTTTGCTTGGTTTCTCCCATGGGTTTAACTTCTAACTTACTGAGATGTTCTTCCATTTGGTGAACTTTGATGGAACATTTTGTAGTTAATAGTTTTGCCACAAAATGTGAGATTTGCCACTTTCATCCCGTTGAGACCCACCACTTTCTAAATGCCCCTCGTACTAAGTGGGGCTGCTTAAAAAGTCATTTAGCTGTCCGACCCTTGGAGACAGAACAAAGTGAAGGTTGTCCACATGCCAGTGTTTTTGCCCAGAAGAACCTTACTCTAAGGGAACAGATCCAAGAGCCACTTTCTAATATTAAAAAATATACTCCAGATCCCTAGAGATATCATAGTTAGATTACATACAAATAACAAACAATTTATGGAAGCCAAGGGAATATAAAATTGAGTCCTAAACCTCCTTGGTAAAATGTAATCAGCCTTGAAACCATTTGAGGAGACACTGTGGTACATGTATTTGGAATAATGAGTCATTAGGCCACACCAAATTAATTTCTTGGTTAACGGATTTTTCTACAAAAATAATGGAGCGGGGGGGGGCGAAATAAAAATAAAAACAGGCCTAGGCATCCTATTATGGCCCAAAATGGTACGATAAGAGCCATGAAGTGAACACACCAGGCTGGTTCAAAATTTAAACAATGAATTTTGAACTTTTAATGACACCACTGCATTGAAAGATGGAATAACTGTAACAATTAGGATGAAAAGCACTGTTTTCATCTGTTCAGAGCAAAATATGAGCATATTGCAGTTGATTCTGAATTTTTTTTTTTTTTCCAAAGGCCACACCAATTTAATTTGTTGGTTCTCGGATTCGCCTCTTCGTTTTTTTCTGATTTGCAAAAAAAAAAAAAAAATGATTCGGGTTCTGAATCAACTGAAAAATGCTCATATTTTGCCCCCAACAATTGAGGAAAGGCCTTTATTCCTAGTTGTTACAGTTTTCCCATCCATCATTGCAGTGGTTTGATTAAAAGTTCAAAATTCAATGTTTAAATTTTAACCCAGCCTTTTGTGTTGACTTCATGTCTCATTTCGTAGCATTTAAGCCTATAATAGGATGCCTAAACCTGTTTTTATTTTATTTTTTTTCGCCCTGTCGCTTCATATTTTTTCTGAAAAAATCCGAGAACCAACAAATTAAATTGGTGTGGCCAAATCAGGAAAAAATGAAGAGGCGAATCCGAGAACCAACAAATTAAATTGGTGTGGCCTTACTTTGGAAATGCTGACATGCAACAACTAGACTCTCCTCAGTACTTTATGGGAGTGTTGCCCAGCCGCCACTCCAATTAGTCTGCTACCACAAAAGACTGGCTATCGGAAAAAAAGACCAATGCTCTTAATTAGTGGGATGACTGGGTATCAAAACAGCCATATGACTGACTCTGACTGAGGAAAAGTGATCTTCTTTGACTTAGTGGTCTTCCATGCAGTTGTCATAGGCAGAGATTGGGCCATGTGTGTTCCCAAATATATAGTATCATTTGCAATTGCATTGGACAAGTGCCACTGGTCAACTTATTTAGGCAAGTCCCTAGGGGAAAAATTGGGATGATCCAATGAGGGAAAAGCAGTCATTATGACCAGATGGCCAGCTTATACGGGTTTTTGCACGGGCAAGTTTGACTGTATGTCCAATGCTGTGTTTCCCCTATGGCTGACTGATAAGCTATATGTTGAGATGATATTTCACCAACACTGTCATTTTTTTGTCCTGTTTTCCAGGCTGTTCACTTTCTGGCCATCGTGGCAGCCCACGGCTCCTCCAGCATCAACTGCCTTGTCTACGGCTTCATGAACAAGAAGTTCAAAACGTAAGGATGTCAGAAACTTTATCACCAAATTGGTCACACAAGGATTATACTACAATGTTAAACTTTATCACATAGGTAC